TGGCATCTTCATCTCCTTCCCAGTTTTAAAGTAAAGGCTCTCAGTGAGTTGACAGCAAGTATAATGTTTACTGTAGAGTTTTTCTAAGTATACTTTATCTAGTGAGATAAGACGTCTTTTCATTATGAATGAATACTGATTTTTATAAATCAATTTAGCAACTTAGGAATGATTTTTTTCATTTAGTATGTTAATGTGGTATACCCCTCACTTACGTGAGTATGAAAACTGTCAGAATAAAAAGGTTTAAAATGAGTTTTTAATCTGCTTAGAACTAGAATTTCTATTAAGTGTAAGGGAGGATTTTAATCACATTTGTTTTTAATATGAATATCAAAATGTACTAGTGTGATTTCTTATTAAAAAAAAAACAATATTCTTTCCCCTACTTCTCTGAGTAGCTAACTTTAATGCACCAGGACACAAGATATAGTGCATCTGTTTGGAACATGCTATTCACTTCTTTTGGTCTATTTGTCTATGCCAACACCTATACCACAAACTCTTATTACTACAGTATTTAATATCACATCTTTCTTTTCAAGAGTATATTAGCTATTCATAGCCATTTGCAAGCCAATTTAAATTTCAGAATTACTCCCCACTCATCCTGCAGTCTGCTCCTCCCTCTGACCTTCTCCCCTCTCATGCTCTCTCTCTCTCAGATAAATGAATAAAATCCTTAAAAAGAATAAATTTTAGAATTATCTTGTCAGCATTCACACAGAATTCACATGTATATAAACATTTACAAGTAAAAGTTATGTAGCTTTATTGAGGATGAGGGATTACGGTCATTAATAGATTAAATTTGAGGAAAATTTAACATGTTTACGTAATTGAAACATCCCTGTAAAAGCATATTTTTCCATTTATTTAAGTCTTTAGCAATTTCAATAAATAATAGCTATATAATTTTTCCATAGAGTTCTTATATTTTTATTATGTATATTTTTAAGAATCAGGTATTTATTATGATAATTTATAAGATATCCTTTAATTCATTATACTACGTTGCTACCAAAAAGAAAGTGTCTCTTTGTATATTGATCTCATAGCCAGTAATTTTATTTAAAGGCATTTTTATTGATTTAATAGTTTAACATTAGTATATTTTCCTCATATACACTTTATTCATGTTAATTATACTGACATTGTTTCTTATTTTCTGGTTTCTATCTCTGTGATTACTACTGTTTCCTGTTACTTTTTTTTTTAGTGTCTTTATTAAAATATAGACTACAAATGGTGATAGCAGGCATTTCTCTCTTCTCAATATTAAAATAAAAAGGTTTCAAGATTTCCACATGAGATATGATTTTTACTCTGGGGATTTTTTGGTAGATATCCTTTATCTACTTTGAAAACATACCTTCCATCATGAAAGAATAATGATTATTTTTATGAAACACATTTCTCTATCAATTGAAATACATTTTTAAAATTGATCTGTTGATATGGTATGCCAGTCCTTAACCTATTTGGCTTCAGATTCATGCTTCAGTCTTATCTGTTCTGCACTTTACTAAACACAATTCGTGGGTTGCCTGGGTGGCTCAGTGGGTTAAAGCCCCTGCCTTTGGCTCAGGTCATGATCCCAGGGTCCTGGGATGGAGCTCTGCATGGGGCTCTCTGCTCAGCAGGGAGCCTACGTCCTCCTCTCTCTCTACCTGCTTCTCTGCCGACTTGTGATCTCCGTCTGTCAAATAAATAAATAAATAAATAAATAAATAAATAAAATCTTTAAAAAAAAAAACTAAACACAATTCGTAGGCATCAGGATGACGATTCAGTTCAGCCAACAGGAGAACTCAGAGGAGATTGGACCCCAGCAGGATGGGAGTGCCCCAAATGCCTGTGCATCCTATTCATCAGGTAGCTTCTGGTTTAATTACTGTATCTTGATTCCAAGGGGCGCCTGGGTAGCTTAGCGGGTCAAACCCTCTGCGTTTGGCTCACGTCATGGTCCCAGGGTCCTGGGATCAAGCCTGGCATCCAGCTCTCTGCTCAGCAGGGAGCCTGCTTCTCCACCCTACCTGCCTGCCTCTCTGACTACTTGTGACTTCTGTCTGTGAAATAAATATATCTTGATTCCAGCCTTCATGTCTGATAACCAGAGATCCCGGCCCCTGCCTGTTTTGCGTTCCAGCTTCATTTCACAGTGAGGCTGGGACGTGACCCATTCCACACTTGACAAGGTTTTCAGGAGGTAAAGTCATCAAGAGTTTGCCAAGATACGGCATTTCCCAGAAAGCCTTAAGTCACAAGAAAGGAGCCAAAACGAGAACTCCCAGGAAGGACAGAAGAAGCCAAAACCAGAGAATGACGGTGGTTCACACAGACATGGGCCAGTGCCTACTTTGAGCCCTGCTGACCCAGGCAGGGCTCCCCAACTGAAGCATCCCCTCGATTCCGCTTGAGGGTTCCAGGGGCATGAGGACATTGGCATGAGAGGCATGACACGGGATCAAGGGAGGGATTAATTCCAAGGCTACAAGAAGTCAGCAGGACTCTAACGAGGGACCAGCAGCAACCACCACCGTGAAAGCCTGGCACGCACAGCCCTGCCCCCCCCCTATCGGCCCAGAGGACCCCAGGCAGGTGTAACCGGATGTGACGCCTCTGATTTCCTCTTCAAGACCGTCTGGCTGTGCGGCATTCGATCTGGGGCTGTACGGGACTCCATCTGAGGTGCGTGGAACCACATCAGCAGAGGGAGGATTCCCAGGATCTGCTTGGAGTCAAGTAAGATTCCAAATGAGAGCTGAGGAGATCCCGTATCACAGAAATGAGGGGACACGTTAGATGAGAGCCCCGGTCCAACTCCGGTAACCCCGGCCCCGCCTATCATGCTGGCCTACGACACACTTCCTGTTTGCGATCTGATCGAGGTGACAGCGTTTCTGTTGCGGGGCTGAGTCCCTTGACCTCTTGGTAGTCCAGAAAAAGCCCCCGGAGTGAGTCCTGAGGGGCCCACCGACCCCAGACAGTGGTGGAGTCGGTGAGCCTCGGCCAGTCTGTGAGCCCTGGGAGGCTTCGGGCAGGGGCGGCGGAAGTATCGCTGACTTACGCCTCCAGAGTCTGAGGGAGGTGAGAGCTTAGCCCGAGGCAGGCAAGAGCTTAGCCCGAGGCAGGCGGTGTCCTGTGGGCAAAGGAAGGAGCCTCAGGCCCCGCGGGGGACTCTGGTAGGAGTCCCGGCGAGGACCCCGAGTGAGTGCTCATGCTTCCCCGGATCGCGGGTAGAGGTTGTGGCACAGCATTAAGCCTCTGTGGTCAGGTCTCTGTGTCCGGCAGATGAGGTGTCGCCTCACTTCCTTTCTGGGTGTCTCGGACACGTGGGGCCTTGATTGGAAGGTGGAACACCAGGTAATAGATGGCAGCAGGCACCTCACCAACCAGTATTAGACTAGCACTTGTGAGGATGCTGGGACCGACCAACTGATTGATGGCAGAGGGGCTGCACAGAGCCCCTCCCCTGTTGTCAGCCCTGAGAGGCCCAGGGAAGGGATGGCAGGCAGAGGGGACTTTTCCTTTCCTCCTCTGGGGCTCAGGAAGTTAAAGCATTTGTTCAGTCAGGAGGAGTCCTAGACCCTGGCAGTTGTCATTGAATTACGTCTGAAGGGCAAAGGTCCCAGACAATGACGGTCAGGAGTCTTCCTAGCTCACTTCCTACGCTGGACACCTAGGGGATTGGGACATAGTCAGATTCAGCAGAGGACAGGGTGACCAGGCAGTACTGGAGTCCATGTGGACATACAGAGTCAGAACTGAAAGGGATCCACCCCAAAACATAGGGTCATCAAAGAGACCCTGGACCTTTATCAGTCCAGAGAACTCTGCACAGAGACTACATGAGAAGATCCCCCTTCTTTGGGGAGTTGGAGACAGGTGAGATCCTTGGTGTATGTACCTATATCGTATGAGGTCATCAAGGAAAGGGATCCAGATCCTCTCACAGATCACAGTAGGAACTTGAGTGAGATCCCACGGGTAGACGTACCCACCCCAGAAAAGAGGGACCTTTACAGTTTCTACCTCCTTCTGTCAGCCCAGGAAACCCTTAAAAAAGGGGGAAAGGAACTGCCCTTCTTCACTTCCTTCTCAGGTAACTCGTGAGGATAAGGCATTCTTACATACAGAAGGGTTGACATCACATAGAGGGGTCAGACCTGAGACCCCACCAGTTGCCAAGTCAAGAACCCAGAGTGAATACTGAGGGTCCGCTGACACCAGGAGAGTGCAGATCATGAGGAATTCTGCCCTGAGCTGTTGTCAGCACTGAGAGGCTATGGGAGAGGCTGTCAGTAGACAAGTGCCCTAATTACCTTCTGGAAATCAGAAAGTGGAGGCTTTGTTCTGAAGGGACAATGTTAGGTCAGCAAATGAAGGGATCCCAGGACCTGCCTGGATTCAAAGAAGGCAACGAAGTGAGAAATGGGGGGACCACCAGCAGCAGTATAGATAGCCTCCACCCAGTCTAGGTCCCGCTGTCAGCCTTGGGAAGTCCGAGGTAGGCCTTCTGGAAGAGGTACCTGCATCAGTTGTCTTAGGAGATGTGACTTTGGTCTTCGGGGGGCCATCCCATATTAAGATAGGGGAGGTACACCAGGTCCTATCGAAAGCCAAGGCAATGCACCTGAGGGAGGACTGATGGGACCACCCCCCTCAGAACAGAAATGGCTGTCTAGAGCCCGACCACCCCCCGCTTTCTGCGGTCTCTGAGAATTCTCAGCCTGGGTTTGCTGGCTGCTTCCTCAGGAGCATTCAGACTCCTTCCTTCATTGTTCTTCAGGGGCATAGCAACCAAGAGGTTGGGAGACCTGTGAGGCCCTAGAAGAGTGTTCCCAGAAGAAGTCCACTGGAGGCAGTTTTATCAGAGCCACCCCAGTGGGGTTGAGCAGCCAAGGCCACTCATGTCTCCTTCTTCCTCTTAGGCCGTGACTCCCCATTGCCCACTCTCCTCTCCTCACTCCTGTCTGTTGCTACTCATATAAGTCAGCATGCCTCAGCACCAAAAGAATCCACAATGCTTATATGATCAGTGCTTTCAGACCTGCAGTGAGATCCAAGATATGGAGGTTGACCAGGTCTCCAAGGCTCTGCAAGAGACCCATCTCTCCTCTTATCCTCTGATACCTGGCAATTCCAAGGAGGCTCCTGATGCTGGTAAACCCAGTACCCCTGAGAGTCATCAGAGTTTCTGCTCATCTTCCATCGCCATGACAACCACCTCATCAAGTGAATTGAATGAGGGCGCCAGTGGCCAAGAAGAAGAGGTTGGCATCTCATGGGTTGGGTCCACCCCCAAGAATGTGCCCATACGTGCTCTAGATGAGAAAGTGATTTCGTTGGTCAATTTCATGCTCTTCAAGTATCACATGAAAGAGCCCGTGACAGAGGCAGATATGAAGGTCGTCACCAAAGAGTATGAAGACCACTTCACCGAGATCTTCCTGAGAGCCTGTGAGCACATGGAGATGGTCTTTGGCCTTGATGTGAAGAGCGTGGATCCCACAAACCACTGCTATGGCCTCTTCATCAAATTGGGCCTCACCTATGATGGGGTGCTGGATGGTGAAGAGGGCATGCCCAAGACCGGCATCCTGATCTTTATCCTGGGTGTGATCTTCATGAAGGGCAACAGTGCCACCGAAGAGGAAGTCTGGGAAGTTCTGAATTTGACGGGGATATATGCCGGGCAGAAGCATGCCATCTTTGGGGAGCCCAGGGAGCTCATCACCAAAGATTTCGTGAAGGAAAAGTACCTGGAGTACCGGCAGGTGGCCGACAGTGATCCGGCACAGTTTGAATTCCTGTGGGGCCCGAGAGCCCACGCTGAAACCACCAAGATGAAAGTCCTGGAGTTTCTGGCCAAGGTTCATGGGACTGACCCGAGCTCTTTCCCGTCTCCGTATGAGGAGGCTTTGCAAGATGAAGAAGAGAGGGCCCGCGCCAGAATTTCCTCCCGGTCCACTTCTACTTTTGGGGCCAATGCGTGTTCTAGGGCCAAGTCCAGCCATTTCTCTTACTCCTAGAGAAGCCTGAGGCAGGTTTTTCACTTTGTGTTTGAGAAAGGGCAGTTAGTGTTCATAGAATTTAGGTCTGGGTTGGGGCTGAAAGGAATATGGTAGATATGCCTATGTGTTCCTACATTATTATGTAACTTGAAAATTTATTCTTTTTTAACAATGTATTTGTTCAAATATTGTGTCTTTAATGTAGATTTAATTTAATTTAGATTTAATTAGCTTTAAAATCTACAAGTTTGTGGATGACATTGGTCACACATTTAATGTTATAATGAGGTTTAATAATACGAGCTTTGTTATTTTGTGAAACTAATTGTGAATCCGTATTATTTTGTCATCTAGAATAACATAACATGGAATTGCTATAGGCATTTACTGGAAATGTAAGAGTGATCAGCTTTAAGGTGGTTGGGTTAAAAAAATAGAGAACAAATTAAAGATTGCCAATCTGTGGCTCTCTTTTACCTTTTACATTTTGTTTTATACAATTAAATTATATACACTTTAATATGCTTAATTTGTTTATGGATATATTAAAAATAAACATCAATAAATTAGACCCCATGCTCACTGTTTCTTTTATTCCCCAAACCTTCATCGAACATGTGCTCTTTGGAAATCACCATGTTTGTCTTTGAAATTATAGCATGAGCAATACCTACAACTGCACTTACAAATTTTATTTATAGGATCAGCAATCCTATCATTACAGTGGGATGCCTTCTAATATCTTAGGGGCAAATACAAGATGGAGTTAGCAGGTAAGTGGGGGTATTCCATATGAGACTATCAAGTGTAAATGGCCAAGGACAAGGGATTTTGGACATTGGGAAAGCTGGAATTCCTGTAGGGAGTGTTAATTTTTAACTTAAATTTGGACTTAGGGCAAGCTGAGCTTGAGGGGATGGTGATCAGAAATTAGACCTTCAGATGGTGTGTCTCCCAGTTGAGACTCAAAAACCTTGAATGGAAAACTATTTGTAGTTAATTAGGGGGTATAGTTTAAAAAGGGAGAAATCTTTAGGGCAGGAATGGAAGTTGTCCTGTGATGGTATCCTTGTTCCACAGAACATAATTCACAAACAAGTTTTTATACACATAGTCTTCAAAGAGTTTTCAGAGATAACAGTGGTACTTTATTGAGATAAGACACCAAGAAACCGTTGGTTACCCTGGCTTAGGAGGCCGAGAGGCTACTCCATTTAAGGCATATTTTAAGCTATTTTCAGTATAATTTGGCATAGTCTAAGAAATGCTTATATTTTTAAGGGTGTGAAACTAGTGGGAATAGGAGTGGTCTGAATGGAACAGAAGCTAGGGAGGCAAGGAATTGGTCCTTGTCACAAATTCTAGGCGTTCTGAATTGCATCCAGGTGAGGAAGAAATTCCCTATTCTTTTTTTTTAAGATTTTATTTCCTTATTTATTTGAGGGGGGCTAGGGATGGAGCAGAGGGGGAGGGAGAAGAATGGGGTAAGAATCCCAAGCTGAGTCTCTGCTGAGTGCAGAGTCTGACCCAGGGCTAGACCCCATAATCCTGAGATCATGTCCTGATCCCAAAACAAGAGGAGATGCTCAACCAACTGAGCCACCCATGTGCCCCATCTACAGTGTCTCGGTTTCTGTAAATTCTGGAGTCCTTATAGGACTCTATTTACCTTTGGATAATAAGACTTCTAGGACTCTATTAAATTACCTTTGGGTAATAGATGATAGAGATAGACAAATGATAGATAGGTGATGGATGGATAGATATATAGATAGATAGATGAAATAGATGGAATAGAAAGAATTTTGGTTTTCAGTGTGCACAATTTTATTTGTGCAGATGTTTGGCGTTTTCAGTTAGGTGATAGATAGCAGAGAATCATGAGGTAAAGTTTTATCAATGCACCAAGAGTAAGAAAATTCTCAGTGTACTGTGATCATAGTGGTTATTGAAAAGGACAAAGTGTAATAGTGCTTTTGAAAAAGTGAAGTATGGCAAACACTTCCTGCAAAGATTTACAAGGTCCTTTTGAAAAATATATGTGACTCTATTGGAAAGCACTTGTTAAATAGTAAGATCTCATGAAGTTGGAGAATTGCCAAGAACATTTTGCCTCCTCAGAAACTCTACCAGGAAATGAAGAGGGTCATTGGCCTAACAAATTCTAGAGATTGCTCTCTACCAGGCCCCTAGTATATAAGAGTTTATGGTGGAGACTACAAGTGTTCATCCACAACTTGTCTTCCACTCTTTCCTGGGTACATGGGAAGACTACACTGTGCAGTTTACTTATAGTTATAAAGGATCTTATGACCAGCCCTTGCTACTGAAATATGAACACAAAGGATGTTTGTCACAGGCCAAAGCATTTGAGAGCCAAGATGCCACCATAGTGTCCTTCCTTCCATCCAGCAGCAAACATGGGGACCCTATGTTGAGTTGTGAAAGTACAGGATGGAGGCAGCTTAGGTCTCTGTGTTACCTGGTAGCAAAGATTCCCTGCCAAATCAATCAGATATTATGTGTGCAAGAAATATACTTTTGATATGTAAGCCATTCAGATTTCAGGTGTTGTCTCTTCCATTGGCTAGCATAAACTTTAATTCATACACAGCTATTACTTTTGCTGTTAGGCTTATTTAAATATTTTAATGACAAAGCTGATAGTGCACATGCTCTTGATGCAAAAATGTTAAAAATACAGACAAATCACAATCTCCACCTTTACCATAGTCCTTCATAATTCAGCCACAGTCTCAGAGACAGCCACAATTAATCTATATATTATTTAAAGCTAATTGTAGGCTTTCTCATACATAACTGTTTTATAAAATTATCTATCATTTTAAAATATAATGGGTCATGATATACATGTTATTCTGCCATAAGTCTCTCACCCTTAACATGAATGCAAGATCTTTCCATGACAACACATATAGATCTGCTTTACTTTTATAACTGCTCCCATAGCATATATGTGTCATGATTACTTTAAACATGTCCTTTAAAAAATTTTTTTATTCATTTCTTTGAGAAATAGACAGAGAGAACACAAACCAGGGGAAGGGCAGAGGCAAAGGGAGAGGGACACGCAGACCCCCAATGAGCGTGGAGCCTGGATGCAGGACTTGACCCAGAGACCTCAACCTCAAGACCACAACCTAACTGAAAATCAGATGCTTAACTGACTGAGCCACCTTGGTGCCCCTAACCATGTCCTTCCAACAGGCACATAATTTGTTTCCCATTTCTTCTTATGACTTATAGAACTGAAATAATTTGAACATGACTTATTGGGCTAAAGTTTATTGGTCTGACAGAAGGTAGAAATTAGGTCAAAGTGAAGAATATCTGGGCATTGTAAATTTTTATAAATATTGCCAAAATGTAATCCCCAAAATACTCTACCAATTCATATTCTCACAAATTAATGCATGTTAATACCATAAACACATGTGTATTATTTTATAAATCAAAAGTACTTAATTTGAAAAGTAATGATTCAAAATGACCAGTTGACTAGGAATGGAGATAGACAAGACACTTACATTTAGTGACAGATGAATATCCAGAGAAAGAGCAATGTCCAAGGTCCATGAGAGAGACTACATTGAAATTCAAGTCCAGAGAACCCAGACCTGGTTGGTAGTCAAAGTTCTGAATCCAGAGTTCAGAGTAGGGGAGAAGGAATGAGAAAAAGAGATAGTGGGGAATCCGCATGGAGGGCCCAAGACAATACACATAGATAGGCTTGGGAAATCTCTGAATCACCATTAATAGCGGGAAACTATATGGTTATCTAAGTGGGGGAAGTTACTGGATGAAAGGACAGAAACATCCACCATTCTGTAGAAGTCCTGCATGTACTATTAGGCCAAAGATAGCTGTCTTTCCTGCATCATCCAATAATGTTACTAGTGGATTCTGGGAAAGCTACATGTCTTGACTACTCTAGTGGCCCACTGAACCTTTGCCTATGTATCAGGGCTGGGATCAGTCTTGGGATCTGCTGGCAATAGGCATTTCATCCTCTGTGCACAGTGCATCCTCTCTATTGAGGTCTGGGCTACATGAATCTTAGTGAGTAATGATAGGCAGCTGAGACAGACCAGAAACACCAAGGAGCAGTGGGAGGCAGCAGGCAAGAACAACAAGGAGGAGATTTAAAGGGGCTACCCTAGTACTAATTTCCTCAGTTGCTCTTCAGATAAAAGGCTAGCTGTGGACAAGTCTCCTAAATAATCTACGTGGTGTCCCCAGCACAGACTGCTTCTCATGTTTCCTGAGTTTGTGGCATCCACCAGAGAGTGGGTATCTTATGACTATGGTCACTTGCCTGCATTGCCAACAGATACTGGCTGACAGAGAGGATTAACCTAAGGTGCAGAGATTTGCAGATTGGATTCAGAACCTATGGAGATTGTACTCTTCGTTTTTGAACTGACTTGGTGCTGGCAATGTGAGAAGCCCAGTGCAGGAAGCATCACATACCATCCCGTGTAAGCGTTCCTAACTCCAAGACAGTGTTTGAGCCAGGTTGCCCAAATACCTATAAATATCACTTATAATGAGGGCAGGATTTTTTCCTTTGTTCTTATGACATCATATCATTTTAGTTCTCATCAGTAATAACAAGATTTAAGTTGCTGATTTCCATTTTTAGGAGGGAAATTTTAAAAATGACAGTAGACTCAACTTGAATTATTAGTTGATAGCCCTGAAATTTCCCTAACCAGCCCTGATATCTTAAGGAATCCACTCAGTCTATGTGAAATGACACAAAGACATTGAACACATCTATTCCACGAAAGTTTAGTATTTCATGGAGTGCGTAGAGGTGGATAGGGGAGAAGAGAAACTGTTCAAGAGAAGGAAAACAAAAAATGTGGTCTCCGTTCCTCTTTTGCAGTGAAAGACATTTTTATTTTTAACTACCAGGCTTCTGTGTAAATTTTGTCTTAGAAAGAGAAGATAGATATAACAGTTCAGTTTTTAGAAAACCAGTATCAAAACCAATG